GTTCATCAGCACAACGAAACATGGGCAGATGAGATACAATGGGAAGCATCACAAGAAGACCGTAATTTTGTGAACACCTCCCTCCCACCACAGCCCAGTTCCTCTAAACCCAAAAGGGAGAGGCAACAAAGGAAGTTTTATCAAGCCGGCAGCGGTGACGGAAATGTAGCTATGCACGCAACAAACACCGAGCCAACAACTTATTCAGCAGCTCTCAGCTCTAAATATGCTGGAGAGTGGAAGGAGGCGATGGATTCTGAAATGAGAAGTCATTCTGAAAATGGAACATGGAGACTTGTAAAACGACCCGTAGGAAAAAAGGTGCTGAAAAACCGGTGGGTTTATAAAATTAAGCACAATCCAAACGGTGAAATTGAGAAATTTAAAGCACGCTTAGTGGTGAAGGGTTTTAACCAAGTCAAAGGTGTAGATTACACTGAAACATTTGCACCAGTTAGCAGATATGAGACGATCAGAACTTTGTTGTCTGTAGCAGCAGCAAGGAAATTAAAATTAGTACAATTCGACATAGGAACAGCTTACTTGAATTCAGAACTAAAAGAAGAAGTATACATGGAACAAGCTGAAGGTTATGAAATCGGATCTGATATGGTCTACATATTGGACAAAACCTTATACGGACTGCCACAATCAGGACGGGCTTGGTTCGAGACATTTAGCGCAAAGCTGAAAGAAATGGGATATGTACAATCCAAAAGCGACAAATGCTTGTTTATGAAAACAACATCCACGGGAAAAATATACGTAGTAATATACGTTGACGATGGACTCTTTGCTGGTAAAAACAAAAAGGAGTTGCTTGCAGAAATTGAGAAGTTAAAAGCTTCATTCAAAGTTACAATTCAACCCCTTGTCAGATTTCTCGGCATTGAAATCTTACAAGTGGAGGAAGGAATATTCTTGCACCAGACCAAGTATATCGAGGATTTGCTTGAGAGATTTGGAATGCAAGATTGCATCACACTACCAATTCCTATGCAGCCTGGTTTGCAGTTTGACGGGAGTGAATGTGACCCAAATTTAGAGTTTCAACAACTCATTGGTTCACTATTATTTCTAGTGCGATGTACACGACCAGATATTGCGTATGCCACGCATTATTTATCCCGGTTTTTTGGGAGCTACAACAAACTACATATGAATGCAGCAAAAAGAATCCTGCAATACCTAAAAGGGACAAAATCTCTTGGTATTATGTACACTGAAAGTGAGGCAGACCGAGACGTCGTCTGTGCGTACGTAGATGCAGATTACGGCTCCGACACAACTTCACGGAAATCAACATCGGGTGTATTATTCACTCACAACAACTCTCCCATCGTGTGGATGAGTAAGAGACAAACCTGCATAAGTTTATCCAGTTGCCAAGCTGAATATGTAGCTTTAGCTCTCGCTGGAAAAGAAGCGGTCTGGGTAACCAGATTATACTTAGAGCTAGATATGATTTCACTGGAAAATGAACCTATCTGTCTAAAAACGGACAGCCAGAGTGCAATTAGACTGGCGAAAAATGATGAATTCCACGACAAATCAAAACACATTGACATTAGGCATCACTTCATCCGAGATCTGGTTGAAACAAACCAAGTCCTATTGGAGCATTTGCCTGACAAAGTTCAACCTGCTGATATTTTAACCAAATCAGTGGTGAGGGAGTCGTTTGAGACGAAAAGATATTTGATGGGAATGGTCCCTCCTCCTCCTGCAAAGGAAGAGAAGAGAAGAGCACTGTGCAGTGTTATTGTCAACCCAAAGCGACCCAGTTTATTGTGGAGTTTTATGGCTTTATTGCTCTCATTTTTAACTATTGGAGCAACCGATTTACACAAAGAGGGAAGTCCTGTTTTGTGGAGAAAGAGCTATGAACCAGTGGTGATCGGATTTCATGCGATAAATATGAGAATCGCTTTAATTTCACCATGCGAATTTTTGCCATTGGATGATTTGGAACCCAGAATTGCAAACATCATGAAAAAACAATGTGAAAAAGCATATGACGAAATATTTCTAAATAATTTAGAAGATATTTGCTCTCCACCACAAGGGAGGCGAAGACAAAAAAGAGTAATTCCTGTCGTTGTGGGATTTATTCTTGTCGCTTGTGTTGGAAGTGCTGGGATCGGACTGGGCAGTTATGCAATAGCAGAGACACACCGACTAGAAACTCCACAAGACGAACTAGAATTTGCTTTCAATAAACTTGAAAGACAAGTTTATGAAGACCGTCAGCACATAAAAGTTCTAAAAATGGAGATAATTAAAGTTGGTTACCAAGTCCAGCAAACAATGAATGATTTAAACAACTTTAAGGAAGGAGTTGTAACCATACAATATTTAATCTCTTACCTCACAAGTAAATTGGTTGAGGGGAGAAAAGTGATTTGGGACACGAAAAAAGCATGGAAGAAAAAACAAATGACTCCTGACCTTTTGGAATATCTGAATTTCACTCTGCCTTGTGGAGACGAGTGTCCAGTGGAGTTTGGAATATTTCACTTATGCCAAATGAACAAGGAGAGAACTCAAATAAATTTGGATTTCTCGGTGCCAATAGTGAACAAAAATCTCACTAAACTAACAGCAGATCCGTTTTTCTTAATGTTGAAACGAGATAATTTAACCTGTCGTATGGAATACTCAGGCCCGACTGTTGCCACATTGCATGTGGGAGAAGAATGTGTGTATGAGACTTATTATGAAAAAGCTCACAACAACATTGAAATGACGACTTCAAACAAGTGTCGAAATGAATCGTCCTTCTCAAACGGAGGAAAACTCTATAAGATTGAGAAGTGTCAGATTTCGGCAATTGGAGATGAAAAAGAGTTTGTACAAGTAAAAATACTTGACAGTCTTTATCATGTATATTGTCCAGGAGGAGAGTACTTGGTGGGCAAGAGGAGAGTAAAATGTCCAGACAAAGTATTCACATTGCCATTATCTTTGACATTCACTCTGAACGAGGTTGAATTCAAGGGAAATATATTACGTGTCGTCTATAAAGAGCGAGAAGATCCTCTTTTTTCTGAACTCGTAAACTGGCACTTGAATCCGCGAGTCAATTGGAGTCATTTAAGTGAAGACTTAAATGAAATCTGGAACACAAATGACGAACGGATTCAAAAAGAAGCCAGGAATCTGCAGGTGTTCTCATTCAGCGATGACAATTGGACAGCATCAGAAATAACAGTGTTAATTTTAGGGATATTATTTTCACTAGTAGTTTTTCTGTGTGCAATAGTATTTCTTGTCAAGAAATGCAATATGTGTCCTAAACGGATTCAACGCCAAACTGAGGAGCAGCCTCTCAAGGAGATCAATGGACCAAGCAATCATATTATTATTCATACGTAAATAATTGTTAAAGGGAGTGTTGAAAATAACCCTGATTGTGTATGTTATAATATGAATTATGTCGCTAAATGTGCATCATTGCACATACTTGACCACCTAATATTATGGGTGGATAAATGCATGCATGAAAAGTTGAATGACTTAGATGATGATCTTATATGTATGACAATGAGCTACGTTTAATAAATCAGTAGCTGAAAATACTCCAACAGTCGAGCATCTCTCTCCTTATATTTTGAACAAGAAGTTGGTGAAACGAGTGGCAAACCGCTCATGAGAGGTGTGGGACAAAGCGTTCTTTCCACAAGTAGGGAAGGTGTATTTGGACCAATGAAGGATCAACAAACTTCGGTCTGGTCATCGTCAGTATTGCACAAAAGTTTCAACATTTGATTCCTGCAATCATTTTTTGCAGGTCAAAATAACTTGACACTTTCAATCAATGACCAGTCCATAGCAATATTAATACGTATGTATAATATGAGGATTTTGATTTTTCACAGTCAAATTGTTATTTTGTTATTACGCGTGGCTTAAATGAATTACGAAAATTAGAAAATTTCTGTTAAGTAATTAAATTCGATTCAAACGTTCAAATTGGCCAAGTTTCGGTTGGAGACCTGTTCACATTCATGAATTTAACATTGGTGAATATAAGAATGAATATTCCTTCACAACCTTAAATTCATGAATGTGAACATCTCTGCTGGTAACAACTTAGTTACCGGGTTTCTTGGAGTGTACCACTAATCTTGGGAATATTAAAGTGAAGCAAATTTCGTGCAGTTCAAGCAGCTCGTTTGCCCTCAGTGAATCTGGCGAAGTAAGGTTTTTAATAATCATAAAATAAATTTAAAGCCATGCCTTATACAACACTCTTAAAAATAATATCTTATTTTGAGAATTAAATTCTCTCGGTGATACGACAAACGTGTAACAGATATTTATGGAACTCGACAAGGGGGTAATATAAGTTTATATTGTGATCAGATTTATAAGGGTTACTGGATTTCGTTGTTGTTATCGTGTTTGCATGTCCTACTTATAACATTTCACTTGGCATGTTTACTTTACATATGTCATTACAAAGAAATCATGCAACGAAAAGGGTAGAAACTGGTGAAACATTTGTATACATAAGTCATGCACACTGAACGTCAGCAAAAATAGATTTCTGAAAATATTACCCTTGATTTTAATACGTGAGTGAGATGACGTAAGTATGTACATAAGGACCCATAAATACAATTGACCTCGTCCATAATGAACGTTCCCCCTACGCGATAAATAAAATAACCATGCTGTGGCAAAGTTTTTGGCGTAAAGTGTACATATTTGTTTATTTACCATCCTCTCGCTGTGTGCAAAAACTTTGCTCGACTGGTGGCTGCGGGACTGTGCAGAAGGCATGTTACCGATTGAAGGGGATATGTATGGGTCAAGCCATCCTTTCATTTATAACATGGGGAATAAAGGTTAGATTTAGTAATGGGATAGGGGTCAACATTTTTTGACTATCGATCACATACTTTATGTACGGCCCCTATGCTAAATCTGCAAATTTGCAGTAATCTAACCTACTTTCATATGATGATTCGCAACACTCATTTCTCTTGCATCCTCGCTTTTGTCGTGATGTAACTTAACTCTGTTGAAAAATGTAAAGTTTTTATAAAGTTGTGACAAAGTGGGGGGATGAGGTTGGGGTGGGTAACTGGAGAATGGAGAAATCAGGCTAATACATTCTTATTTTTCTGGTAAGAAGTTCGAATTTAATTTTTGCAGTTTATTCAAACCTGTATTTATTTTTTGCTAGTTAGTGTAGCGTATAATTAAGCAATATTTTGGTCGTGTTTTGGAATAATTTAGGTGGATCTGAAATGGATAAAATGATCCACTTTCTAATTATTGAGCCTGTATTCGGATGTGTTAAATATACTTGGCTGCCTAAAAGGTAACTACAACTTTTATATTATTAAAATATATAAAAAATTAGTTGTAATTGTTGAAATGCATAATATTTACAATTTATGCGTTTTTCTTCCAGGATTAAGATAAACTTACTTGCGACGTTTGTAAAGCCCGGATTCAGAAATTAATTACAAATATGTTTAAATTGGAGGTACACAATTTTTATGAAAATTTGAATTTTATGAAATCTATGAAAATATCTAAACTACAAAAATTAATTAGTAAAAAATTGGTTGTGTAGTGTTCAAAAAATTTTATGAGATGATACGCTCGGCGATGAATCCGTTATAAATTTTGGATTATTAATTGGAAATTGGATTATAAAATTTTGATTCAAGTCGGTGTGACTATTAAATTTATACGCTAATTAATTTCGGTAAGCATAAATAAACTTTAAAAAATATTCAATCGTTATAAATATATAATTTTGAAAATGATTAGTAATTAATGTAGTATCTTTTCTACACACCTAAATAGATTCCAATTGTACCTGAAAAGTAATTTCATTTCGGAATACAAATGGGGGATCGTGCCAAAGAAATCAATGGGACAATATTCAACCGGAACTTGTTCGTATTAATTCTATAATGCTTTATCGTGTGATATTTAGTTTTAATTAGGTTACTTAGCATAAATTAGCATTGTAGGATTGCTTTGACAACAGGGTTTTGAATAATAGTTTCTACTTTAAGCGGAATAAGGGGACGTCCATAAATTATGTAACCCAAGGGGAGAGAGAGATGGTGGGTTTTAGGCTTCAATGATCTCGTGTGACATGTTAAGTAAGTCTAGAAAATCGCCATTGTTTCGGCACATAATTTATGAACACCTTCCACTGGGCAACAAATCGATGAAGCTTTATTTAAAACTCACAAGCATAATTTGGTTGTCATTTTTGAAAATATCCTGTAATCAGTACAACGACACCTTCACAATGTTGACGGGTAATAGCTTAATATTTTCATCTTAGGCAGCACTCTGTGAGATATAAACCAAAACGTGCGAGTTTTTTTTAGTGATCTTCAGACATTAAATTTTTGAGTAAAACTCGACAAAATTTAGGTTAATATGACTGGAAATAATACTTCGAAGAACGAATGAAAAGAGGTATAGATGCATGTTTTGCAATGGATTGAGATTATTATTCGATGGGATTATAGGAAAGCGATTTATAATTTACAATTTATAAATATTAAGGCGTTGGTTACAAGTTTGATTATAACAATTTGAAAATACTCGGGAACGAGAATATTTGATGCAACTTGTAAACGACACTTATTTAGTAATGGATGGTGTCCATTAATAATAAATGGCTATGTGCCTACTTCCGGTATTTAGGTCGATTTGCGTTACATGTATTAGCCTGTCATTAAAAACGGTCGTGGGGTTAGTTGAGATCTAAAACGGATACGTCATGCGTTTAAGTTGAACGGAATCCGTTAATAATAAGTTACTTTGAAAAGATGTATTCTTCAGAGTAACTCCTCGTTCCACACAATTTAGGCTAGATCTAAATAGATTACGAAAAGAGGTCGTTTGTATTAGAAACTATCCAGGAGTATATGCTATAACACCGTTAAGGATAAGTTTGATTTTGTCTAGGCATAGCATTGCAATATTGGCGAAAAATCTGTCGCAATCGGCAAGATTCTTTGAACCCCACTCTATGCATGCACAAATTCGCCACTTTCTCGTAGGTTTATCTAATTATCTATTAGACCATTACTATGCAACTAGAGCCGCCAGGCCTTAAACAAAATTTTCTTTTCCTCTGAACCACATTTATGCATAATCACATATGAAATGTTGCGTGTACGCATGTTTTGACTTGACAACACGACATTAACTTTATTGCTTTCTCCCTCCTACGTTCCCCCGTTATTATTAAAATGCACTACACATATTTACTAAGAATGGAGGTTTCTCAACGTATGCTCACAGATTTGGACGAAAATAGCGGCAGTCGGTAACAAATATAATTAGTATGGTATTTGCAAATGGAACTATCTGCCAATGCTCAAGTTTAGTGGAGCTATTTATATAAAAGAGGAGAGAACGCACCCCCAAGGCCGGCAAATTATTCATTTTCCAAATTTGCTGCGCATTTTTCCAGCCGTGGATGCAAATATCTCCCCCAAACCTGCGCATTCGTAGATAGTTCCATTTGCAAATTTCATACTATTCATATTTGTGATCGACTGACTCTAGTTTCTTCCAAATCTGTGAGCATACGTTGGGAGACCCCTATACTAACAATGCGATGGTGTGAGGTGTAAACTTCCGATTTGGTTGAAATTACGAAATTGTGTGGTCCATGTCAATACAACCAACATTTCTTCAGGCGGTTTGTGCGATGGTCACAATTTGTCAAAATATTTGAGGTCGAAGTTGAAAACCGAACCAATTTTTAGTTCGGGTAGAGAATGGAAGTTGAGTTTGCTTATTCCGCCTGGTAAAAATCGTTCGTTTTTCAACTTTGACCTCAAATATTTTGACAAATTGTGACCAACGCACAAACTATCTGAGGAAACATGGGTTGTATTGACTTAGACCAAATAATTTCAAAATTGCAACCAAAACCGGAGGGTTACACTTCACACCATCGCATTGTAAGTATTCATAAAATCTCTCTCGCCTCATGTTTAGCTTAACACTAATCTACTATCCAGTCGTATACTTTCACTACCTGTGGTAACTTTATCCTCGTGGCGAAATCCATTTTTTCATTATACAAGGGCTAACATTCCTCCTAATCGATGGGCCGCCACCGTTTCGTAGATTTGGCCATCTCACGGTCCCTCAAGGCCTATCCTCGCTTTCTCTGCCCTCCATCCCCACGCCGCGGTTGGCGCCGGCTCATAACCTAAATCTTACACATAATTGGGTCATACTTTCCCATACCAGACTTGACAGATTGCAACCTTGTACTTGCTTTCAAACTCACCAGCAACTTCTAGACATATACATAAGTAGACGATTTCGTGTGCGGTAATCTGCACTAGATGGAGACAACACTTGGCCCATATTTTTAGGCAAGGAAAGTCTTCCAGCATAGCCTCAGGGACGCATCTCGCTTCTTCCTTTAGGACTTAATTGTCACCCAGGCTTAGGTTGAAATATTTAAAAAGTTACAAACTTCTTGAACCCCAAATGCTGTATTTACATATGGAATTAGCCAAAATATTCCAATTATCCAAGGTTTTGAACGTTGCAACCAAGTTTAACACAATGTGAATTCCAAGTAAGCACAGCAGTATGTACTTTAATGTTGAATGGTCGTATATATGAGTATTCTCATAACTGAAGAAAGAATAGATTATTGTTTTCTACTAAATTCATCATCATAGGTATGTATCATGTTATCAAAGGGTTTAAGACGGGCTGTTAAATGATCGCAAATTAATGTTCGAAAATTACCCAAGGGTACTTATATTGTGACTGGATTAAACCAGTGAGTTATCGGCGTTCTGACTCTTTTCGGTGATTTTCATCATTTAGTATCACGAAAAACGTGCATTGCATTGGGCCTGACCAGAGTATTGAATTTAAAAGGGATGATGCAGCACCCGTTTTAGGATAAGGTAGTTACTTTGAAGAGGTGTATTCTTCAGATCTACATTCCATCACAGTAGTTGCACAAAACTATAGAACACAATAGTCTCTAGAATACACCAAGGGTTTTAGTTCTACAATGGCTCTTGATAGAAAGATACTGACGAAACGTATTCTTCAGAATATTTTAAAAGATTAAATTTCTTGAAGTATACATTTTGACGATAAATTTTAGGGCTATGAAGAGTCCGGTTGCTTCTTTGAGGTGAAGATTTTGTTTCAAGCTTTCACATCAAATTCAAGTTACAAAGGGATCGACAGGTTATCAATGTTATCATCTCTCGTTACTTTTCTGAAAGAACTGTGTAACCTTTGTTACCACCAATCCTTCAATTAACTTATCGAGCACGTGATCTTCTATGATAGCTGAACCATTTGGTCCTAAATCACATTTGTGTTTGTTTACAGCGACATCGTTCGCAACTCGTCCTACAAAATATGTGCTGTTTGACTTCTTACCAGACTTCTTTGTACATATTGTTATAACTTGATAATTGTTAAGTCAAGTTATACAAATTCAAAATGTTCGAAGAACTATGTATGTACCAGTTCCAAGGCCAAGACCCATGGGACCACAAATATTCTTTTGACATTGTTTTGCAGAATTTAGTTTGGTTCGGGGTAAAAGGTTTTGATTTTGAGGGACTTACAGGAGCTCCATGAAGTTCGGAATGGTCAACACTTCCTATTATTTTAATCGCCTCGTCATCGTTGGTCCAATTAGCTGGGGATTTGTCCCAGTTTAAAAATTTACCATAAATTTTTTAAGTTTTTACTACTCGAAGAGGAATGTTGTTGGTCATCCTTTTAAATGCAAAAGATAGCGTTCGAGGTGATTCCTTTGCGGGAAAAATGAAGAGCTTCTAATTGCATTTATTTGCATGTGAGGCACATCAACCTTAATTAATGAACCAGGTTTTTCACTTCGACATAAAATAACCGGCGAGTCCTGAGTTGCACAAAAAATATGAGAACGGAAATTTCCATACATTTTCGGGTCCACTATTAATTGTATAATAGTACCTGACCGACAATTTGTTTAATTTTCAAAGGGAGTACACTGAAAAGGAGGTTAGACATAATGATGGATCCTAAGCTGTGTCCAATGAAGTGAACTCCGTCCGCCCTAACGTTTCTCTCAAGGGCTAGGGCGTGCTTCATGCTTAAGCAAGGCATTATGAATTTGGATGTGTTTTTGGAGAAATTTCTAATTTCGATCAACACAATTCCTGAAATAATTATGAAACTATGGGACCTACTTATGTCGTTTAGTATCTCCACTAATTTTATCTACCACGAGTAGAATAATGTGCTTAACTTTGAATGAATTGGTTAGCGAATGTTAAACGAATAGGATTATTTACTTAAAATTGCTAACATTTTCTTGTTTTTATCACGAGATGGAGGGCAAAGTAGGAACTACCTACCTACCTAAATAGGTGCATTAGTTTTAGGTACATACTTTCTTCCATCTTAGAACGTATTAAAATTGGAGAGTTCAGAACTCAACAAAGTTAAGAATACAGATTTTCTACAAATATTTAGGTCAATATTAAATGTATGTATAATAGCACCTGTCAAACGATTTATTTTAATTTCCGAAGGAAGTCACGTGCGGGTCGTGTCATGCGTTGAAATTTTACTTCAAGCGTAAGGCTTTGTAATCGATCTGTGTCCGATTAAATGTATTCCTTCTGACCGGTGTAACTTGAACAAAAATTCATTTTCGTGAAAAATATGGAAATTTCCATACATTTTAGGTCCAGTATTAATTGTTTAGTACTACCTATCCAACAATTTCTTCTAATTTTCAAAAGGAGTACACCGAAGAAAGGTTTAGCCAGTGATAGATCCTAGGCTATGACCTATTAAGTGGATTCCCTCCGCTCCAGGATTAGGATTCCAAACGATTTGTTGTGTTAAGATTGCAAGTTATGTTGAACAGATCCAAAAATGT